AATTTTTTATCCATCACATTGAGGATGATAACGACAAGGCTATCACGAAGAGGATAATGTCTGAAGATAACAAAAGGTGACGATTGCGCAGGCGCGTCTGAAGGCGTATCAGCTGTCTGACGACGACAATACCTAACGTAAAGCTTAGCTAAGATGATAATGATGGGAGGTGACAACACACTGAAGGCGTAACAGCTCGGCCACCTAAAGACAAATGAAAGGATGCAATCACCTGGAAATGATTGGTAAGTTACTGAATTATTCCCATATGATGTAGCTTGTTGATAATGTCATTACAGAGACGATGTTCTTTAGTCAAACGACACTCTTCGATATAACAGCGTAAATCATTTACAAGTTTGTCGGGATCGTCTCCGTTCTCTCTTTCTAACACATCTTTGCTGTTATCACAATCTGTTTCTAATTGTGTTTTACATAACAATTATCTGGATAATCATCAACACCACACACATGTTACTTCTATTTTAAATATCATTCTAATTTTATTTTGGATTTTCAGGTAGTTCCAGAGAATCCGTGCTGAACGTACAGGAGGCCAAGATACGTGGTGGTCAGGTACCACATGACAACTCGTACAAGCACATTTGTTCAATGATTTGTAAATTTGTGAGTAATATGCCATTCTCGTTTAAGCTGTGGTTCCTTCGAAGTGTACTTTGTAAGTTTGTATGGAGCCTTACATGCGCTTCGATTGACACATACTGGATAGTATAACTCACATACTCGGGATGCTTACTAGTTGGTGTCCAGCCTCGACTCATTTCGGGTAACACTAGGTAGTTGTTGAAGAACGAATGATAGATACATCTTTGCTAATTAATATAATGGAAACGTTTGAAAGGATAGCAAATGAACCCTGGCTGTTGTTGTGCTTTGTGATGACCCATGTATAAACGTAACAATACCAACAATAACATTTGTTATCTCTCTCTTTCTCTCTCGTTCTAATATTAAACTAGTACCTATTAAATCTGATATTTTAACAGCATTAAGAAGCAGTCTTAATAAATGGTGTACACAGAGATTTTCTTTGTCATTCCGCGCCTCTCCTCTAGGTACCTACATTCTTCAGACCACTTCAGAAGCAGCAGCAGTCTACAGGATGTTCTTAAAGAAGCGAGAAACTTTTATAAAAAAATTGATGTTTCGTAAATATCTTAACCCAATTTTTGAAACGCAACAAATATAATAGCCACTTTTTACTTTATAACTGACGGCATTTCTTCTCCATATTTATAGTGTATTTTTATAAAAAATATATAAATATATAACTAAGGTGAAGGGTTGAATTTACCATTCAGTAACAGCAGCAGCAGCAGTCTACAGGATGTTCTTAAAGAAGCGACATGACAACTCTTAAAAGGTTTTTATATCTGTTGGTTTGTTCCTTAATACGTTCTCTGTCTGAACTTTTTTCAATATAATTTGCTATTTAAAAGAATAAGTAATTAGCATTGGTCACATGGGCTTTAATATGAACTTGACACGACAGTATTAAGATAATAATAACAACGGTTTCTATTAAACTCATTTCCTAAATAGCATAGAATTCTTCTAGTAATTAAAAAGATAATGTTATACAGGGTGTTAATTAAGTATGTACAATAAATTTAACAGACAATGCTTCGTTTTCGTGTTAAACTTTTGTAAAAAAATTGATGTTTCGTAAATATCTTAACCCAATTTTAGTGACACAGCTATTTATTTCAAACCGTTAGCGAAATATAAGGTGCTAATGCAAATTTGAATTTACCACCAATAAGGCACTAATTACAAGTATGTTCTGCACACGTATTAAACATATTTTATTTTTGTTCATATTAACTCATTTCCTAAATAACATGGAATTCTTCTAGTAATTAATTTTTTTATCCTTTTAAGCGCTACCCAACCGTAAGTTTTATACTAATAGCTGAAATATTATTTAGCATCAGTATATCAACCACATTATTCCTGTTGTTAAATGCTACTATGGTGGTCTAGAGGTAACGGGCTCGCTTTGGAATCCAAAGGTTCGGGGTTCGAATCTCAGACAGAGCAAGACTTTTTTAATTTAAATAAAATTCGAAATCAACTTTAAATTTACCGTCAATTGCAGCCCACCTCTCTCCTTCACTCCGATCTCTATTGCGCATGCGTTTAAATCTAGAAATTTGAATTTACCACCAATAAGGCACTAATTACAAGTATGTTCTGCGCATGTATTAAACATATTTTATTTTTGTTCATATTAACTCATTTCCTAAATAACATGGAATTCTAGTAATTAAATTTTTATCCTTTTAAGCGCTACCCAACCGTAAGTTTTATACTAATAGCTGAAATATTCAATATATCAAGCACATTATTCCTGCTGTTAGATGCTACTATGGTGGTCTAGAGGTAACGGGCTCGCTTTGGAATCCAAAGGTTCGGGGTTCGAATCTCAGACAGAGCAAGACTTTTTTAATTTAAATAAAATTCGAAACCAACTTTAAATTTACCATCAATTGCAGTCCACCTCTCTTCCTTCACTCCGATCTCTATTACACATGCGTTTAAATCTAGAAATTTGAATTTACCGCCAATTTTATTGCCGCACTCTGATTGATCA